TTGGGAAGCCTGTGAAGCAGTTCTGCCCCTCCCTATGGGGTTTAGATGCTTGACTACAGTGGTTATTCTCTAAGGACCCGAGCATTAGTTCCCTGTATACCTGTATATCTTACACATCAGAGACACAGCTGTAGACGTAGGTTCTTTGTATGACCATGATTCTGAGGATTGCATCTTCCTTAGCCTTCATCCTCACTTAATCTCCCACACCTCCAGTAAGCCAAGCTGCCACACTACAGAAAGAGGTCTTCTTTTAAAAAAAATGTCTGATGGTAAATGTCAGAGTTATAAATATTTAACCATTATTTTCTTTCCATTCCAAGTCCAGATTGACAAAATGCCTCTAATTAGTCTGGAACTCTGCTGAGCTTAGTCCAAGAGCAAGGTTTCAGAAAAGAACCTGCAGTATAGACACAGTGGCTCGGCCTTTGGTGAGGAGGACCAAGAAGTAATCAAAGGGGACTGTGACAGCCACCAAAATTATGTCTGGTCAGGATTGATGGATTTGGTTCACTTTGAAGCAAATACTGAACTAACACCCACCCCCAACTCATGTTTAGGAGTTTAAGAGGAAGGTGGAGAAAAGTCTTCTAAAGTTAATGAAACTCAATCATTATGCCAAGGAAAAGGGTTCATGATCTCCTTTAAAAAACTCAACAAGAATTTCTAAAAAAAATTTTCCCCCTGATTTTAAAGATTGAACTTCCCAACAGTCCTCCAGAACGGATAAGTACTGGGTAAAAGTTTTTAGATTCTCCCCTCTTCCCCCCACCCCTCCGCTGGATTCTGACTCCTACTGAAACTAGTTCAGCGGCCACCTCACCTCCCCATCCCGTGTCCCCTCTGCTGAACCCAGTATTAGTTCTGTGCATCGTGTTGGGGAGTGTCCCAAGGAAAGGAACCTTTTCAAGTTCCATCCGAAGCACCACACTGCCACTGCTAACACCCACCCCCATCCCCACTGTGATCTTGCAACCTTGATTTTAGTGTCAGTCTAATCACCCCACTCAGCACACAGTACAGGACCTTTCCCTCAAAGTCAGGTCCCCTCTTCACCTTCACCCGGCTCAAATGCCTGACACCGTGCTTTCCACCCCAAAAGCCAGCCTGGGCTGGGCCCCAACGCTATCGGATTGCCAGTTTGGCCCACCCGGGAGCATCTCTCTTCCCCCCATTGGGAGGAAGCTCTGCGGCAGAACGACCTGGCTTGGCAAACCTGGAGATAATCAGGCCAGCCCCTCCCCCATGGAGCACTAGTCAGCGGGGAGTCTAGAGAGAGTGGAAGAGACAGAGCTCAAAGGGGATTGACCCCCCCCCCCTCCATTCTCCTCCGTGAGCCATTGGGACTCAGCAGGGGTCCGGGTAGCTGGAAAGGGGAGAGAGGGAGTCCAAGGAGGAGAAGCCTGAACTCTTGGCAATCACTATCCTTGACATTTTTATTTGACCTTTGAATGAATTCCAAGGGTTCTGGGTGAAGGAGCTGTGGCGTGAGGACCAGCAGCCCCACAGCCCCTCTGCGCTACACAGAGTAGGCTCCGGCCGCTCTCCCAGGGAACCGCACCGCCTGCGAATCACTGGCTCCACGCAGGGAAGGCCGTGGAGCAGAGCGAGCAGTCCTAGCAAGAAGCTTCACCAAGGTCCCGAGACGAATCGTCCCCTCTCTAGGGCTCCTTTGAGTGCTCAGCTCGCTGGGGCACAACCAACCTTGGCCAAATTCTGCAAGGCGAGACAAATGCTAAACTTAAAATAGAAGCACAATCCACCCTTTTCTGAAACTATTAGGTATTAACTGTAATTCACCCTACACTCCTTGAAAGCTCTGCGCGTGTTTGTTCCGTGCCCTTTTAAAAAGTAAAGGGCCTGTTGAGAGTACATCCTAACCCTCAATGCTTTTTTCTAACCCTATCATACCCTTGCTCAGCAAACTTAAAGGTTAGTTTGGGGTTCTGTGAAGTGAACGTGTGTGTGTGCCATGTTCGTAAGTGTGCTGAGTGTGGTCGTTTGCCAGAGCGTGCACTGAGGTGTGGGCTACATTAAAGGTGCATTGCACGTGCACTCGTGCAACCAGTTTGGCTATAGAGCATCTGTACACATGTAATATCTCCGTGCGCTAAGGTTGGTAAAATCCCCAGTTCCAAGCGCAGGCACTTGGATTCGCCAGGTTCCCTGTTATGAACAGTCGGCTGACGGGTAAGGCGTGCGTGGCATGGCTCCAGTGCTCTGTCCCGCGTGCGACTGTGTGAGTCTTGAAAGCTTTCCTGACTGCTGCGCGCAGCTCTGGGGCCGGGTGCGCGCGCCTCGCCCGCGCAGTGGAACAGCAAAGCCTCCTTACCAGCCGCCTGGCGAGGTTTCCTTTGTTGTGGTCGCCTTATCTGTCCGCCACCGAAGAGGCGCTGGTGCTGCGGAAAGCTGGGGCAGGCGTGCAGTTCCCACGCGCTAAAGGCTGACACCCAAGGAGATCTCGGCGACAGGGTTCGGAGCGCGAGGCGCCCAGCCGCCTGGGATGGTGTAACGAACCCAGGTTCAGCGGCCTGACCTTGCGTGGAGAGGGCAGGGAACCAGCATTTTTGTCCCAAACCAATCTCCCATTTAGATGCAGATTTTGACCTCTCACCCAAAGCCCCGGGGATCATTGACCCTTAGAAGTGAAATGCTAATCGCCTGCACCTGCGGCGGCGTGTCCCTCGGCTACGGAACCCAATCTCTGCGGGACGCGTCCCCAGGACCAGGGACTCAGAGTAGTGAGCTCTGCGGCTTTCCTTTCTTTGCGCCCGCCGCCCGCGCAGAGTCCGCGCGCCCCTCCCGGATCCCCGATCAGGGTTGGGGGGCGGCCCGGCGGCCGGCGAGAGGAGGAGCTGGAGGCGGTACGCGGGCCCCCGCGGGGCCGCTTTAAATGTGCGGCCGGACAGACGCGAGTAATCAAATGCCGCTCGCCGGAGAGGAGGAGACTCCGGGCGGGTCCCGGGGGCGCCCCTCCGCCGCCACCGCGGCCGGGCGGACCCCCGCGCGCCGCTCGGTCGCCAAGCCTGGCTTGGGGCGGTGCGCGTCGCCGCGAGGGCGCCAGTCCCTCCCGCCCGCCTCCTGATTGTGCCGCGTCCTGGTTGGATACCTCCTATTTATTTATTTGCTTCGGGCGCTCACCCTGCGTGGGGAGGGGGTGCGGGGACGCCGTGGGGGGAGAGCTTGGTTGCCTTTGGGGGGTGGGCTGGCCGGTTCTGGGGAGTGACTTCCCTCTGGCAGCTCTCGGTGCTCCGAAAGGAGGGAGCAGGAGGAGGGGGAGGCGGAGGGAGAGGGGTCTCCCGGCTGCACTCTGCATAGCCGAGAACCCGAGTGCTGCGCGCTGGGGACTCTAGCCGCTGCTGCACGCCCCCCCATTTTCTCGCTCCCCCTCCCCCTTCAGTCCAGGCTCCCCACACTCTATCTCCCTCCCTCTTCCTCCCCCCTCCGGGCCCTCCTCCTCCTCTTTCTTTTTCCTCCCCCTCCTTTTCCCTCTCTTCAGTCCACCTCCCGCGGTTTACTAACCTAACCGTCCTCCTTGGAGCCGCGCATCCAGGCAAGAAAATCTGGGAGTCTTTTCTCATTTATCCCGCGTTTCCATTAACTCAGTCCCAGCACTGGCTAATCCGCTGTACCGAAGGCAAAAGGAGGCTAATTAATGACCAGCTTTTCCAGTCAAGACCAGCGATAATTGCTTTGGTGGCCTTTATGATTACAAGATAAAAATGGACCCAGCCTGACATAAGAGCCACTGTGTACACTGCAAGACAGGAGGAAATTAAGAGTTGGGTAGCTGAATACAGAGCAGAAAATTACTAATAGAAGAGAGATAATGAATAGGCCGGCCAGGCATTCATGGGGAAAAATCCATTTTGTTACCACGTGAAATTAGGTGGTGGAAAGGAGTTTGCTAATTGTTCTCATCTTGTAGCAACCAGTACTGAGGCAGGGGCGTGCTTTTCAATTCATTTCCCCACTAATTGTGAGAGGGGTGTGCTGGCCAAGTGAGTCTCCTGCAATTTGCAGGCCAGTCTTTTCATTTTCCTGTTGCGTTTTTAATTGTTGCTAATATACCTTATAATGAAGCTAATGAGGGGAAATCAGGGTACAACTTTTAGCACATGGATACGGTGAAATGCACCAGGACTTTCTCATATTTTTACCTCCATTCTCCCCAGCCCAAGAAGCATTCAGTCTCTGAAAGAGTCTGGAACCATGAAAAACAGAACTCCCTGAGCCATCCTTTTTCTCCCACAGTCTTGTGACGCCTTGGTTTGAGAAATGAAAAGCAAAACACAACAAAACCCGGCAACCTTAGCTGTGAAAGTGTGGGCATACAAGCCTGGGCAACAGTGGACTGTGGTCTGGAGCGTGGCTTCCACTGGTCCCTGTCACTCCCATGGGCATGACATCAAAGGCGAGCAGAGCAATTTCCAGGATGACAAATCACCTGAAATATTAAGAAGAATATTAATAGGAACACTCACCAAACCAGCCCCACATTCTGTTGTGTGCTAAAGAAAGGGCTTCTGTTGCTATTTATAACCACAGCAGGGTCTAGGCATTCCTCATCCCTTTCTCCTGCCCTCACTCTGTTCCCCTTACACCCCAACTTCTGTAGATGTCTGGATAAATTGCTGTATTTTCCCCTAGTACCTTTTTGAAAGAAGGCATAAACAATTTTAACTTAAGGCAGCAGATTAGTTATTAAATACTTTGCATTGTTTAATTTTAAAACTAGCTGCCATTAAGGGAGGAAGGAAGTTTGCCTTCAACTTTTCTCTTGAAAATATTGCCGTTTATAATATATTCTTGGAAAGAGCATCGTCTCACATGAAGGGTGCCATTCTATATACCCCTCTTGTTTCAGTGCTAACACAGCACCATGCTGAGTTGGACTTCAAGATGTATTTTGAAAGCATGTGTCTCTCCTGCTTTTAAGAGGTTATAATTTGGGAAGTACTAACGGACTCCCTCTGTCCTTTTTTATTTTTCCCCTTTAGAAAAGTAAGCTCAAGTTTCTGCCTCATCAAGTAGAGCAAGAAGACTCCACCAAGTTTGTGGTCCTCACCCTGATCTCCATCGCATGCATCATTGGGGTCCTCTTGGCTTCCGGAGTCATCTACTGCCTGCGCCACAGTTCCCACTACAAGCTGAAGGAGAGACTCTCAGGACTAGGGGGGGACCCAGGTCCAGATGCCACTGCTGCTTACCAGGTAAGGTTAAAAAGAACCCTGTGCTTTCAGCTCATCAGCTAAACAGATTGTTTAACTTCTCACTGGTCCCTCCCCCAGTCCCTGCAATTGTTCATTTATTCATACTTCAGATTCTTTTATGATGACAATTTGGAACTCCTCATTAGCATTCATGTAAATATATCACAGCCACAGCTTTACAGCTCTCTATATTAATCTTATGCCGTTCTTGGATAGTCTCCTGTTAGCTGTGAAAGCAAGTTGCTAATTAGAAATGTGGAAGGGGGGGAGTACAATACATGAATTATGTATTATCTGTTATCTTTCTTAGTTTGGCCACTATTAATGAAAAATGTCAGAGTTGCTAGATAAATTGGTTGTAGAGATGTTTGAAGATGTCTCTTAAATCACTGGTTTCCTCAGGGTCTTATATGAAAAGATCCTTTGACCTGATCTGTAGCCACCCTTTGCTATTATTTGGATAAAGTGAAATATAATGCTGATAAATGGGACGTAAACCAAGAATGTCACTGTGAGAATACTGGTGGCAGCTGTGGCCTGGTAGTACAGAAATATTACAGTGAATCTGGGAAAGAAATTAGAAACCAGTCAAAGTGTGGAGAAGGCATCCTCAGACTAAATTGGGCAGAGACAAAGTCTTAGATTATTTGGGAGGCTCTACACTATGTATTTCATGTTTTATAATAGCCTGTTAATGAAAATAGGCGTTCAAGTTTACGAGCAGTGCAAGCTCAGAAAGTATACAATTCACAGCATTTGATTTAGTATAAAACATCATTGAGTCTCAGGTGTATTTTCCCATTTGAGAAAATAAGATGTCTTATGCAATTTGTATCTTGAAAGTTCAATAGGTATATCTTTGTGTAAGTTTTTCTTTCATGTAATTAGAATCTTTGGGTTGTTTTTTTTTTCCCAGGCTTCTGATTATTATGTAGAATAGGTCTTGTAACTAATACATTATATTTTATTGCCATATGTAAATGAAATACTATTATTTTATGATTATGGTTACATGGAGGTTGGGGGCAGGCCCTCAAGTTCTTTCCAGAACAGTATTTCCCCAAATTACTTAGCAGAGCTTCCTTTATGAGGTTGTCAAAGCTAACTTTCCTCTGCCCTGTGGGCTGCTCTGACCCTCCCTTGAGGAGCTGTGGGATGAATTTCTAAAATGTCTGTGCTGAAAAGAGACCAGGAGATAACATTTCTCACCTCAAAAGTCTGACTATCATCACTGAATTGAGAAAGTCTCCAGTTGTCTAGATGGAGCTTACATGTACGGTCACTAGAACCTATTCCTTATGAAAAGAAATGGCAACTTCAAATGTGTTGAAGATGGCATTTCGGTAGTAGTATGGAGCTTTGCTTCAAAGAAAAATCACTTTTGAAAAAGAAGACTGGGGGGTGGGGGGAAAGTAACTCAAATGTGTAAGAGTTTACCCAGAAATGTTATTGAAAAAGATCATCAATATGGGGGGGCGGAAAAAAAGGAAGGAAGGAAAAAACCCAGGTCTTCCTTCAGGGCCAAGGCTGTGTCAGTGCATCAATAAATTATCACACCAATTCTGTTCCATGTGTGAAAGACGGAAGATCATACTGGTGTAGATTTTTAGAAAGCTTGGCATCCTTTGAAATACTTTGAAATTCAAATATAAAATATTGATAGCACGAAAAGGTTGGACTTGCATGCAGAAATGACTAATTTTTTTGAAAGATGCAGGTTGAAAATGCATACTTAAAACTGAGTTTGTGATAATTAACAGGGAAAAAAAAATCTTCCAGTGACAGCTCTAATTAATAGTATCTGTAATTAAAATCGTGCCCTTCCAGCAGGAAAATTGTTTGAATTTCTTGGAGTGACCTTTTTGCTGTTCCTCCTGGGGGCATAGTGGTTAAGTTGATATTGATTTTATAATGAGCTCTGGTTTGTTTAATAAGAATCTGTAATCCAGACAGTAAATGAAATGTGTGCTTTTCTTCAATTCAGATTAATAAAAAGGAAAAAGGGGGCTCACTTTTCCTTTAAAATTATGATCTGGGAAATTTTGGAAATGGAGTTATTTTGAAAAGATTTTCTTTCTGTTTGACATAGGGTTGAAATCACTACCAAATACCCTTTAGGGAACGACTTTGACTAAATGTGAGGCTTTGACCCCATGAAAATAGATTGTTTACTAGTCAGAAAGTGCTGGTGCTCAGCTGTTGTTGTGTTGTCTTTATTTAGTAAGCAAAATAGGACTCAACAAATGAGAAGAAGGATTATATACTTTTTTTAGTTTTCAGTTTAACCAAGTGAAATATTACAGCCTCATAAATTTTAGTTACAGAGAACATTTATGTTTGCAAATGAAGCAGATACTTTTTTCATTAATGTGTCTATAGCTCGTTTGGATTTTTCCCAGCCACCACTGATACCTCTTCAGATTTAAAAATATATCTGAAAAGTTTGTCAGGTATTATAAGCATAAAAGTAATAGATCTCAGGAAAAACTGTTGATTCAGTATATTTAATTCTTTTTAGAAATACTGGATTTAAGTAATGTTTTAATAAAGGTAAGCTCTTGGGCAGACATCAGGATTCTCCATCACTGGGTTACAAGGAAAATTGAACAACTTGCTTTTCTGATTCATTTCCTAGCAACATGATGGAAATAACAATACCTTTTTTAAAAAGTTTCTGGAAAAGAAAAATATTGTTTTCTTGGTTAGAGCAGAAGTGATTTCAGAATGAAAGAAAGGTAGGTGAGGATGTAAGACGTTTGAATTTACCTTTTAAGAAAAAGTACTAAGTATTGTTATTGTAGGGAAAGGAAGGAAGAACAGGAGAGCAAGAATTCTGGGAAGTGGGCTGAAAGGAGTGAAGTGACAAGTTGCTATTCTGAGTGAGGCCTTGAGGTCCTCTGCTTGTGTGAGTCCCCTTTGCCAGAGAGTCTGAGGAGACTAAGTTTTTCCCCAGTGAAACAGCATAAGCACTGATAGTATTACACAGCACTTCCAGCAGGAACAGGGAGACAATGCGTCAACTTTTTAGAAAGTATTTTTAAGTATACTTCAGCCTGTACAAAGTACATCTTGTAAAGTACTTCACATTAGAGTTTCTGGTAAACTTATCCATACTTATACATACATATACACATTGCATGCCATGGGATTTTGGGTTACAATGCGTCACAAGTGTTTTCAAATAGTAAGTTTTTAACATCATTTCAAAGCACTAGATTCTAATATAATCCATGTAAAATAATTTCATCTTCCTTAAAATTGAACTGTTTCATAGGCAGTCAACATTTAGGGGTGTGTGTGGATGTGAGTTTGTGGCCATGTGCCTATGTGAGAGAGATTTTTGCTTTACCTGTTAAAAAATCAAATAAATTTTGACTTTTTCACTTCTAACACTTAGTGAGATATCAATCTTATGAGATAATTTATCACAGCTGAGTTTGCTTAGTTATAGAAACCAATGGGTATATTGACTTTCAGAATAAGTGAAAAAAAGATCTTTTTAATAGAATAATGCCACCCAGCTTTGTCCACATTGTTTTCAGTCAATTTTTTTTCTTCTAACCACTCAAAATGTAATGTAGTTGGATTAAGTTTGTACTTAATTATCTCAGCTAATTTTTTAAAACGTTATGCCATATTTATAAGTGGTCATGACATTTTGAGAGAGAGAGAAAGTGTGTGTGTGTGTGTGTGTGTACACATGCACTCCAGGTAATGTCAAGGCACCAAAGAATTGTGAATGTTTGGTAAACCAGAATACTTCATGTATTTTTTCATGTTAGGTGCCCTATTTCTGTGAGTGATGATTGGGTAAAAACTGTGCCAAAAATAAGTTGTTAGGTTATTAGAAGATATTCTCTTTCTTTTTCTCCACTGAGTCTCTTTTTGAATGTTGCATCCATGTCTTTGATGCTTTGATCATCTTTGAACAGCAAGTTTAGTATTCTGCCAGCCCACTCTTCCTTGCCTGACATGAGGGCAGAGACTCCTGCAGAATTTTCAGCAAGTTCCCTTTTGATGGTTTATTTCACAATACCAAGCAGGTTTCCTTGTGTACTTTGAGGCCTTTGGAGCTAAACTCAGAGAAAGGCACGCATTCAGACAGTGTGGACCGCCTGTAAACAGAGTCACGAAAAGTGCACATCTTGGTTGTCACTGCTCCCATTAGCCAGCAATTATTAATGTAATGACTGTGCGTGCAGTGATTGCCGCTATTTGAGGATGTTCCATCAACTCTGATGTGTTTGTGAGTCTTAATGCACCCTGACTTCTGACCTTTGGTTGAGGAAAGCCAGGTTCAACAAAGAGAGGACATGTCACAAATTGGCTTATTATCCTGGGCTTTGAATTAGGAGAACCACCCCCTGCTCGCCCCCCGCCCCCCCCCTGCAGGTGAGTTTAAGCTTTTCAAAAAGATGCAATCACTTGGAACAGAAATGGCACAAGGATAAGAAGTTCCCAATTAAGTTAGAAAACAGTGGCATTTTCTGAGATTTACTTGATCCTACAACAAATTTCTAAAAAAGTGTATGTCAGCCTTAGAATATCTCTTAGAATAACTTTTCTTTGCTTTATATGTAAAATTTCAGGTAATTTTTTTTTGCAGAGAAACAATAAAATCTATCATGCTCCAAAAATAGAAAGGCACTCTTAAAATATTGTTTAAGACATTTCTTTTTAATATAATCAAGTAACACACATGCATTAAGAGTTTACTAGTTTTATCCTTTGCAGAAGGGGCTGAAAGGTAGGTAGGACACTGCAGGTAGAAATATCTTGTATTCCAGGATTCTGAGTGTGTGTGTGTGTGTGTGTGTGTGTGTGTGTTCTGAAACGGGTGCTTGAGAGTAGAGATCCTGTCATATTCTATGCCCAGGAGTATACCTGAGCTTAATTGTAATGCAAGTAATCAATTATTGTATACTTAGTACTGAAGTCCATGTTTCTTGAGCTTGTAAATATACTAACCCAAGAAAAACTTGAAAACTTTATGACAAGGA